GTGCCACACCAAAAATAACCACGCTGCTTTCTGCAATGCTAATTTGGTTCACAAGGAAGAAATAGCAGAAAAAAAGGTAATAGATTAGATTTCAGAAAACAGCACTATCTTCCAAAGAGTGACCATATTATCAATTGTCTACCTAAAAGCTTTTATTCAGGTCTTTTACAAACACACACATTGATTCTGGATGTGAGGCCAGTAACCCGCCCTTTGAGATTGCCACTTCACTCTGGTGAAACTTGCTGCGTTATTAGGATTATTACGGGGTCAACTACACCTTGAACTTGACAGGTAAACCCCAGCAACAAAAATACAAAGGCATCAATTTCAGTAATAGCAAACAATTTGAACGTTTGTTCTAACCAAGGCAGGGGATTTCTGCAGTGGAGCTGCCTTTCACAGAGAGGGGAGGGGGAGGAGGAAGAGCAGGAGAAAGGGCTTCTGTTTTTTTCCCTTAAAAATGAGATTTCTTAGAACTCTTATATTCTTCTATGCTTTAAGCACAACTTTTCTAATAACATGCTGCAGAAGGGCTTGTTCTGAAAGTGCAGTACATTCAAAACTGAACACTGCCCCAGAAAGCACACAGGATGGAAGTGAAGGGATTTATGGGATAATCTGTCAAAATCATTAGCTTTTCTTACATCCTCTTCTCTACCCATACTGTAAATCAAATTAGAATATAAACTCAAGACTAAGATTTATATTCTAAGACTTCTTCTATATAACATATTTCTATTCTAAGACATCTAAATAATATATTTCTATGTAACATCCATTTTTTCACAGAATTACAATACTGAACTATGTGTTTTGAAAATACTTTCTATTTCTCTGGTAAAGACTTGCTTTTTGTGATTCATTGCTTTGAGAAGCCAAAGGTTAAAGAAATTCTGGGACCATCATCACAGTAAATGAGGACTGAAGGAGGGTTAGAAGCACAGTCCACTATTGAAACATCATGCAGAACAGTAAAATATGGAGGGGGATTATTTTCACCAAGTAAAACATCTGCCAGCATAGCTTTGGTGCACAGAGGAGGGTGCTGGCATAGGTCTCACCCCATTTTGGCAGAATGGGCACTACTGACACTTTGGATGGCCAGATAATTTTCCATACTGCTTCTTGAAAAGATAAAACTTGGAAAAAATGGGCTGAGACATTCTCAAGTCCACAGGAGGCTTCTTCATTTGGAAGAATGGCCGTGAGTAATACACAGAAATACAGAACAAAAAATCTCCTGGTACTCTCATTTGAAAAGGTCTTTAAGCTTTATTTAATAATCAGTGCATATTTGTAGTAAATTTTTTTTAAATTAACAAAAAAAAACGCCAAAAGCAAACAAGAAAACTCCGAATCAAACAAAATACAGTGCTCAAGCCCAGTAGTGACTACATAAAATGAAACTTACTCTTTGAATGACAGCAGGATTTGAAGAAGTTTTCGGTGTTCCATGAAGGCTCCAAGGAGAATTGCAAAATTAGACATTATTTTTTAATTGGCTATTGTAGCTGTTAAAGGCCAGGAATCTTTTTTGTAATCATTGTGACTGCCTTTGTAGAAAATGCCAACATTATGCAAAAAGATGAAACCTACCCACACTGTTTTCTCTTCCTAGCACCATGATTTATGTGGTCATTACAGGTAACTTATAGCTTATTAAGAAGAAAAATCATTTGCATACTTGATTGAATGTCAGTGAGATATAGGAACTATATATTCTAGTTTCAAACTACAGAAAACCATATACATGAATTTTTAAAGTCATACCAGAGAACAGATGCAACCCATCAAAAATAAAAGTATTATATTCTTATTGTGTAATTTATAATGCTTCAAAAAGCGTAAAATGAAATAAAGCACTTCTGAAGCAAACTCCCAAACTGCTATATTAGAAGAAAGCAACCCAAGAGAACTTATTTTTCAACAAGCAAACAGAGTAAAAACATGTGAGAATCAATCAAATGCTTTAAATCAGTAGATTCCAGCAAATGAGAACATCTGGAGCAGCAAATCTTGCTGCCAGTTTCAGAATGGACAAGACTGTGATTTACCAGAGAACAGATAAACAACCTGTCAGAGTGCCACAGGAAGAGACTGAAAAGCAGGTTCCTATTCCAGGGTAACTTTTCTTAATAAAATCATCTTTCACTCAACAACTTAATTAACATTCAGTGCACAAAGCCCTAGGAACAGGAAAGCAGAAAAACACTAATGTACCTTTCTTGGTGAACACAGGTTGGAGTTATTACTATGCTGACTAATCTGCCTCAGAATACCTAATCATCCCAGGTCTTTTGCTTATGTGAGACTGAACACTGATTATTTATTAAAATAGTCACTACTTGATTTTAAGTCATAGGTGACAATTTAATATAACTGTAGGCTTCATCCAGAATAATGTTTTAGTCACTCTGTCTGTATGACTGCATTTCCTGTGCAATCAGCACATCTTCCAACACAGCAGCTTCTTACTGATAACCACAGAAGTTCCTACTTCACAGCTGGAAACTATTATCCAGAAATTGTTTTGAGAAAAAAAGTTTGAGCTATGTCAAACCTGTACAAATTAGTTTAATTTCATTAAGACCTAGTGATTTAAAGAAAACACTCGAAGTAGCATATCTTAAATTCAGCAATATCCAAATTAATTTTATTTTGCCCAATTCAAATTGACATAGCATTTCACCAATCACTCCATTTCCTTTTACAGAGATTAAACCCCCTCAATATCAAATTGAAACATTTCATTCAGCTTAAAAATTGTTTCTGATTTACACCTTCCACATACTTTCCACCTTTTGAAAGCTACCAGAGCTGTGGGATCAGCCATCACATGCCTGCCCAGCAACACACTGAATCTGCTCAACTGCAAATGTCTTTCTACACTGATGAATTAGACTCAGGTGCTGTATGGAAAAACTCTGCTTTAGGGTCAGCAGTGTACAAAATACATGTACAAAATACATGCAATGCCATGCATGTGCCTTAAGCACTTACACCTGAAACTTCATCTTTATCCTGAACCCCTCAGAGCCTTTTTAACACACAATTTTAATCAGAATACCAACCCATCTCAGGCTTTCAGATTTGTCTCCAAGTACATGGTTCAGTAACAAGAAAACTTCTTATCTATTCAGTTTGAATAAAGAGTAACAAAATTTTAAAGACCTGAGTAATAGCTATGGTCTATTGTGCCTGCTAAACATCTGTTGTCAGTATAAGGGGAGATTACATAAGTATTTGCTGCCTGTTTTTCTTTGTTATTGCCTTTTTTTTTATCATTGCTATTACTGCTAAAATTCTGTTTAAGCATAATGTGAAATACAAGGACAGGATTAGTGCTTCTATTGCACAGTATTTATTTTAACTACATTTAATATTATAACAAACATTTATTTCTAGATACACCAGGCAATGAACCAAGTTTCTCCTGACCTATGCAATGCACTTGCTCTGCTTTTCAACGACAATGTCAAAAATGCAGTAGTTTTTGCAAGACAATAAATCTGCAAGAAATAGTTGTCTCTCTCATTCCATTATTTGTTCTTATACCTGCTCTGGATTCTTTGTGTGCATGCATTTTAAGTGAATGTTCCCTCATTACTGTCAAGCAACTTGTCTTGTTACTTCACACTTTCTCGGTGTATCACAAATACCTTGCTTTCTGTACCCTTTGCATGCCTAATGATAGTGCCTTGCTGGAAAGAAAGGCACATTAGGAAATTAGCAGAGCATATATGGAAAAGAAAGAGTCAGATTATCAAAACCACTCTCCCCATCACTGTGAAGGTTGATACCTCACACAGCACAGAATTTAAGGTCTGAATCTGTCATGTCACATTGTAAAAGATCAAGAAAAACAGAAAACAGAAATAATGACACTTTGGGCAAAATAAAAATCAGCTTCTTGACAGCTATTTAGTATCAGCCTCTCCCAAGAGGTGGGCAGGACTTTCCAACAGTTTTATAAATTACATAATGTGAGCTAAAAGGCATGCTGTCATCATGAAAGTCAACATTAACTATGACCTTCCCTAAGGATAACACACATTACAATGTAGGTATTCCAGGCTGGAAATCATTCTTATATTGAATATTCCTGTGCCATCTTTCCACTTCAGAAAACAGCTCACACAACACCATTCCAAACATGGTACTGCACCAAGCTGATTTATACCCATTTCAATAAACCTACCTGATATTTTCCTCCTTTGCATGACAGGTGCACCATCAAAATAATCCCAAAATCAGGCTTTCTGGAGAATTATCATTGAAAGATGTTATCCAGCTAGAGTTGGGATAAGCAGTTCAGCAGCTTCTCACATTTTTCTGAGACTGCCAAAGAACGTCCCTTAAAAACCCTTAAATGGAAATGAGGCCCTACCTACTTTCCACTAGGAATTTTTAGAGCTCATTTTGCAGATAGATATCTTTAAAATCCAGCTAGATTCATTGTCTAATGCTATCCACCTGGTGTCTTCTCTAAACAACAACAACATAGCTCTTGAGACATTAATTCTCAGCATTAACAACAATTTCCAAACCACCTAACAATAACTGGATTTAAGAATACATTCCAGTTTTCCTTTTGAGTATTTGTCTCAGTTCTGTCCAGAAAGCTTCTCCTCCTGGGTAACTTCTCATGTTTCAATCCACTGACCAGTCTCAGACCACAGCTGATGGAGTCGTGTTTCTTCTCACAACACAGGTGATCTCTGCACCTGGCACGGAAGGCAGGGGCACACAGGGACTGTGTCGTGGGTGGCAAGAGCCCTCCGTGGGTGCAGAGGTTTTCTTCAGCCACCTTCCAGGATAATCCCAAAGCGCCCATACAGGGGAAAAGCATTTCCTACCACCTCTACCTGACCCTACTGGTGCCTCAATTTTACCCTGGCAAAGGGCCAGCTGCTGTGTGGCATTTGGGACTAGACAGAAGGCAGGTGATACACACAACAGACAGGGTGACAGCGCTGCTGCTGCACCTGAGGGCTCACCTGTGCAGGAGAAGTCATCCACACGGACATAGCCCATGACACAGTCACAGCGGTAGGAGCCAGGCAGGTTCACACACACGGTGTTGGCGTGGCAATAGTGCATCTTGGCAGCACACTCATCAATGTCTGCAGGGAGAAACCACCCAGGGGAGCCACAGTCAGACTTGGTGAAATGAGTAACACGACATTACAGGAAATAAATTCCATTTACAACTCCAAAGGCAATTTGTTTAAACACTAGTACTAAAAAACAAGGCAAATTCAGTAAAAAATATTCATTAAAATAGAGCTTAAACTCCTGTATCATAGCAATATGTTCCTTCCCACTGTTCTTCATGAAACATTATTTCTTTTTTTAATTCTGGAAAAGTAACACATGCATTTGGAGTTTTTTTTCAATGTTAAAAACCAAAAACTGATGAAGTTTTCAAACACATAAAATAGTGTCAAAGTATGCAATAGTGAAAATCCTAACTCTTAAAGGCACAGTAGCTCCACACTGCATGGCATCACTTGCAGTGCTGGTCAAACATGCAATGGTTGCCAGGACAGTGCAGGAGCAGATTCCACTGCCCAGCTGGACAGGGAGCTCTCCACACCTCCAGATTCACCCAAGTGCTGGCAATGCCCTGGCCCTGCAGACAGGCTTCTGCTGCAGAAGTTACTGGCCAGGGCTCTGTGCCACCTCCACATGTCACACAGGCAGAAGGCTGAAGCAGTCACTTAAGCCCATTTTATGGTTTGCATCACATCAAAGCAAAAAACACATCATTAAGGAGTAGCAATAACTTAACCTCATGTCTTTGACTAAGTAATTTCTACTGCTGCTGCAAATCCAAAATCCAGAACTGTTTTCACAATAGTGACTCAAACCTATCATTTACTTGCCTGTTTAAATATCTCAAATCTCTGTGATATTGTAAACTGTAAAATCTTCCCCCTTCGTTTTACAAAACCAGACATTACACTGAAGAATTTTCTTTACTTTTTTTTTTCTCAGCAGGATAGATTTTCTGCTTAGCAGCGCAGATTCTACATGAAGTAATTCATGGTTTTCAAAATATTAATTCTAGTGTTACATATGTCCAACACAAAGAAAGATGAATCAGAGACATTTTTCCCCCTACTAGTTTCTTTCTGTTATTGATTGCTCACACTCTGGAAAGGTATCAATTCACAACACAGCTGAAGAATCAATGAGCTGGCCAGCTCACAGAGCAGCCTCCTATCACATTCCTCTGCACAGCCACCTGCACTCCACCTTCTCCCTCCACACAGTGCCTATGGGAGCACAGCAGGTGATCAGCACCAAAACATCAGCATTCAGCCCCAAAATGGGGCAGAAGGGGCAGGGAGAGTTTAGTTGTGCACATGCTGAGTCCTGGTTACCTAAAATCAGGTATTTTGTTTAACCTTCCTAACCTGAAGCAGCTGCAGTTGAGGTACACCTCCATTTTCCAGGCTCTGAAAATGAAACACATGCCAGCTACACTCACACTTTCTACATTACAGACATCTGTCCAGCAGGAGCTACCAGCTAAATCTCTTCCTGCTGGCCAGCAAACAGCTGTCAGTTGGCAGCGATTTCTGACTGCTACCAACTTGGGATGAATTAGAAATGAAGGCCTGGAGGCAAAATACTTTGTATACCACTGCAAACACCTTAAACTATCTCATCCTTGCATTTCTGTTCTTTCAGTTGCAGTGCCACTTGATGAAATGAATTTTAAAAAGTCAGGAGCATCGATATATGGAAGATAAAAGCCAGGAAAAATCCTCCCACAGGTCTTGTTATCACACCACTGAGTGCTTGAGCCACTTGGGAAACACTCAGGTGTTGACGTGTGTTCACACTGATCTGCTTGGAAACTATTTTTAATAGGCTTTTGGAGCGTAGCTTTGAGGAGTTTTGCTCCTGCATATCTAATAATTTTCAAGCATAAAAGGAAAAAGAATGAAAAGATGTCTGCAAAGAAAGCAAGAATGCCAAAACAGCAACCAATCCACCTGAAAATTAACCTTATGCACTACCCTTCATCTCCAGCTCCCTCACTACACCTCTCTTTATTCTCCCAAGGGGGAAGTGAAAGGATTAAAAGTCTCAGAGGTGAAGGAATTTGAACTTTGATTCATTGCAAGAAAGGCCCAAGTTGCTGCAACAAAAAGCATGAGAATAACCAGAGATAAAAAGAAAATTCACTACCTATATGAAAATACTGCCAGGAGAGAATATCTCAAAAGGAGACTAAGGACTTCAAGTGATGACTTGACTATAAATAGAAGAATTGAGAAAAACTGGCACTGGGTAGCTGCAGAAGTTCCAGAGCCCAGGAAGAAAAAGCCTGGGCCTAACAAAGGAAGCAGAAATAAACAAAAAAAATCTGTCTCTTCAAACTTTGCTCATTTATTTAACTGTCTTTGCAATCTATAAGGGTTACATTTTCCATAAACCCTTTCAGCATTTCAGATTTTCTTTTACCTTTACAGTATTAGCCTTCTACTAATACATGCATTTTCTTTAGAGAGAATAATATTGAGAGGTCAAAACTGACAAGAGAATTTTGTTATTAAAGCCTGTAGGGGAACACTAAATCTGTTGCTCTGGACCACAATGCTACAAATACTTGTAAAAGGTTAGGCATTCATCACAAAGAGCTTTGGTTTTTACTTAATATTGTTAAAGTAAAACCCATAAAGCACACAGTGGTATATATCAGCTCAGCTGTAATGGAACTCAAATTGTGATTCATGTGTATGGATTGCTTGTCGCATTTGAAATATTAAAGCTCATCTTCTAGTGGTCTTTGAAGGTGACAAAAATACATGATTTATGCTTCTCGCTAGGCTGGTGAAGAAGTTTGTTTTTCTTTTAAAAAGGTATACTTATGGTCTTTAAAATGAGACTTGACACAGCATAATTATCACATACGTATCACCAGCTTCCATCTGCATCAGCTCACACTTTACAACAGCAGAGACATTTGGGCTCCAGCTTTCAGCAAGGACTGGTGTGTTAGAGGGTGGGTTGGCCTGGGAAGGGACTGGTGCCCACTGGGTTCAAGTGTGTCCTCATCAGTCAGTGAAACAGGGCTCATTATCAGGGCAGAGCTCTCCTTACAGCATTACCCACACCTCCTACAGCTAATTAGCTAAAACCAGCACTCTTCACTGCAACTAACACTGTAGACGAACTCATAAGCAATAATAAAAGAGAATGCCTTTCATTAGTTGTGCCAGTGCACTCAGCAAAGCTGTGAGGACACCAGGATAAAACACAAGGAAAGTATCTCAGTGGAGCTGCCTGCTTAGCACCTGACAGGTGATCACCTCACACCACCCAACCAACCAAGGAAACAAGGTGGGGGAAGACTACAAATGGTGTTCAACTCATGGCCAAGGAAAGAGGTTTTCTCCTCTGCAAATGAGCTTTACAAACTGCCCAAACCACTTAACTCTTTTCAAGCAGGACTTACAATCCTATTACTAAATATCTGTAATGTTTAAAGATGACAAGACACCAGATCTCAACTCGAGCATCTCTTTACTGTTTGTCCTCTCCAATAAGTCACAGCAAACCAAAATAATTTCAGCTGTAAAGAAGCCACAATACCTATTAATGACAATGGGAGTTTTGTCCATTCAGCCCAAGGTCATGGAAGCCCAGGAATGGACCTGTTGTGTTTTGAACTGTTAGTCCTGCAATAACCACGAGGGAACAACCTTGAAACAAAGCACTTTCTTGTTGCCTGGCAAGGCTGACCTGGAACAGAGACTAGGCAGAGCAAAAGGAATAAAATCAGTATTTATTGAAAGGATCCACTTTGGGCAGTGCAAGAGCCTGGCCAGGGCTACACCCAAGTCAAATCCAAGGTGGATCCTGGTCATGAGTTTTTACACTTTAAAAAGTTATGGTTCATCTGCACATTGGGGTCAATTATCCAAGCACAGCCGCAGGCTATGGAGTCTCAGTCCCCCTGGCTTACCTCCTTTCCCTTGCTGTTGTTTCTGTTTTTTTGGATACTAGTTGTTCTTGATTCTCTAGCTAGAAAGGAATTGTTTTGTCTAACTACCCTGTGAAGCGACCTTACTAACACCTAACATGAAATTTCAGAGTTACACACTAAGCAGCAGAGATTCTGAAAAAGAAAAAGCTAAAACCCAAGGCATCACTCTGCCTCTGGAATTGTACACAACTCTTTCCATGCAGTTAACAATAATCCCTTTACACATTAGTAGTGTCATCACCTGTTGTTTGGGGCTTCATTTTCAGTTTAACTACTGACAGACAGTAACATACAAACCTAAACAAAATTAAACAAATCATGAAGTGTTCCAGAGCACTAACAGATTATGTATTTTTATCAGAATCAATTACTCTATTTGCAACTATCTCTCAGTTACTCACTTTCCAGCTATGGTCTATACTTTACCAAATTAAATTAGAATTTTCAGCAACTCTGTAGGGAAGCAAAGGCAGAAAATCAAAAACGGGGGGGGGAACCCCAGCTTTGCAGAGAGCTCTGATGTCTAATTCATGGTTATTAATACAGAGGAGGACTCCCTTCCTCTTTTTTTATTAAAGCCAGTACTGTGCATTGACTTGAACTGTATTAGATCCTGGTCTACATGATCAGGATTTTTAAAAATATGAAGTCAGTATTACTATTTATGTAATGTCAGATGTTGAAGTATGTTCACAAGCTGTTGGAATCACATCAATGTAGTTTCCAAAACAGCAGAAAACAGCAGTAGTGGAGCATGAGACAGGTCCTGAGATTTTGGTCACCTTATGCTTATGCAAAAATGAACACATGCCATTGTCACTCCACTGACTTAGCTGCTCCTTGCTCATTATATTTACTTTCTCTCCAAATTCTCCCTGATTCTTATCTCCTCTCCACTGTAAAACTCACCTGACTTCAGCTCCATTTGCCTTTCTGTTTTTCCTTTTCACCCTCTCACCATCTTTCTTCTTTATCATACATGCAAAACACCCCACACCTGGTTTTTACCTTTAGCACAGGGCTCGTTTCTCAAATTGTGCAGCAGAACCCTCAGGGAGTCATAAAGCACCAGACACAGCAGTCAGCAGTTCCCCATGAGCTGGCAGCAGCTCAGCCTCCCTC